ATAGAGATTTCTCAGGAGACAGATGAGGTGATCAGGCACTCCCATTTCTTTAAGAACTTGCCATAGTTTGCTGTGGTCGACACAGTCAAAGGCTTTTGCATAGTCAATGAAGCAGAAGTAGATGTCTTTCTGGAACTCTCTAGCTTTCTCCATAATCCAGCGCATGTTTGCAATTTGGTCTCTGGTCCCTCTGCCTCTTCTAAATCCAGCTTGCACTTCTGGGAGTTCTTGGTCCACATACTGCTTGAGCCTTCCTTGTAGAATTTTAAGCATAACCTTGCTAGCGTGTGAAATGAGTGCAATTGTATGGTAGTTGGAGCATTCTTTGGCAATGCCCTTCTTTGGGATTGGGATGTAGACTGATCTTCTCCAATCCTCTGGCCACTGCTGAGTTTTCCAAACTTGCTGGCATATTGAGTGTAGCACCTTAACAGCATCATCTTTTAAAATTTTAAATAGCTCAGCTGGAATATCATCACTTCCACTGGCCTTGTTATTTGCAGTGCTTTCTAAGGCCCATTTGACTTCACTCTCCAGGATGTCTGGCTCAAGGTCAGCAACCACACTACCTGGGGTGTACGAGCCATCCATATCTTTCTGGTATAATTCCTCTGTGTATTCTTGCCAACTCTTCTTGATGTCTTCTGCTTCTGTTAGGTCCTTACCACTTTTGTCCTTTATTATGGTAATCTTTGTACGAAATGTTCCTTTCATATCTCCAATTTTCTTGAACAGCTCTCTGGTTCTTCCCTTTCTGTTGTTTTCCTCTGTTTCTTTGCATTGCTCATTTAAGAAGGCCTTCTTGTCTCTCCTTGCTATTTTTTGGAAATCTGCATTCAATTTCCTGTATCTTTCACTATCACCCTCGCATTTTGCTTGCCTTCTCTCCTCCGCTATTTGTAAGGCCTTGTTGGACAGCCACTTTGCTTTCTTGCATTTCCTTTTCAGTGGGATGGTTTTAGTTGCTGCCTCTTGTATAATGTTACGAGCCTCCATCCATAGTTCTTCAGGCACTCTGTCCACCAAATCTAAATTCTTAAACCTGTTCCTCACTTCCACTGTGTATTCATAAGGGATTTGACTTAGATTGTACCTTACTGGCCCAGTGGTTTTTCCTACTTTCTTCAGTTTAAGCTTGAATTTTGCTATAAGAAGCTGATGATCTGAGCAACAGTCAGCTCCAGGTCTTGTTTTTGCTGACTGTATAGAGCTTCTCCATCTTTGGCTGCAGAGAATATAATCAATCTGATTTCGATGCTGCCCATCTGGTGATGTCCATGTGTAGAGTCGTCTCTTGTGTTGTTGGAAAAGAGTGTTTGTGATGACCAGCTTGTTCTCTTGGCAGAACTCTATTAGCCTTTGCCCTGCTTCGTTTTGAACTCCAAGGCCAAACTTGCCAGTTGTTCCTTTTATCTCTTGACTCCCTACTTTAGCATTCCAATCCCCTATAATGAGAAGAACATCCTAAGCAACAGCATAGGTGTTGGTAAACCCTTCTAGCCTGGGTTTCACTGACAATTACCTGGAATTAGCAGCTGTCAGCAGTGTCTGATGAACAATTAAGTCCAATTCACTGTTATCTGAAGTATGGGATGAATGCAATGCAGTTAATCAGTTAATCTCCTAACTCGTTGCCACCCATTTATAATATCATTTATTCTCCACCCACTTCCATCTGACAGATGTCCCACCTACTTACTAGTCTTTCCCTGTGACTTTCAGCTTCCCTTTCCAGCTAACTTAACAACCAAGAAGTTTCCTTCCCTCCTCCAAACACAACCACTCAACCTTGGCTCAAGCTGGTATTTTGAGCTTTGAATGAGGGGAACCTGCGGAACCTAAGAAGTGCTCTGCTGGGTCTGGCCAATGGCCTGTCTAGTCCAGCATCCGGTTCTGACAGTGGCCAATCAGATGCCTCCAGGAAACCGGTGGCCAGGTGTCAGGTGGCAGAGGAAGCAACTCCCACAGCCGGTTTCCAGGGACATATAAGACAAGGAAAAGTTTTTACCATCTGCTTTTTATTCAATATTTACAGAATGTAGCCTATTGGAGTAATGACATTGTCCCGAGTGAAAACTGCCCTCTGCCTTTGAGCTCTTTGCTCTCCTACTTTCAAGGCTCACCGGGTTCTGGGAGAGAAGGGGGTGGGTCTGGAATGATTTCTAAAGACACTGTGTCCGTCAGCTGTCACCCCCTGTGAGTCCTCCTCCTCCTCCTCCTCCTCTCCCATTATTTCCCAGCTTTCCACCTCATCCGCCTCTGAGCTGAGACCTCCCTCAATCCCCTGTTGTAGTTCTGAACTGTCTTCTTCTTCTTCTCTGGAAGGGTCACGCTTGGGGAGGCAGTCTCCATCATTCCTCTGCCCAGTCCCTGACAGCAGGGCATGAAGGCAACAGGCCTCCCTCTCTGTTACTCACAAGAACCCAAGAAGGCCCATCTAGTCCAGCTCAGTGTTCGCTCATGCCTCTGGGAAGCCACCAGAATCACAACTCCTCTTTAGTGTCCTTTCCAGGTGCCTTCTCCAGAGTGACCCTAGGAGCCGATCCTCGGTGGCTGACTCGCCTGATTGGTTCCAATCAGCAGAAAGGTGAGAAGGCCTCTTCTCAGTGGATAGAAAACTCCCCTTTCCTGCTGATTGGCTGGCTCTAGGAAACTGGAAACAGGGACCAGGCCACAGAAATCACAATGGGTCCTCAGCCCCTAGACTACTGCACCTCTGCCTTCCATTCTCAGTGGGCACCAGCCACCTACTGGATACCTCTGTACCTTCAGTGGTGAGAAGAAACTGGATTTCCACCATGACTGTTTAACCTACTGTGAGTCATCTGCTCACAGGATGACTGCCATTGCCATAACCTTAGCTGCATCAAGCCTGTCAATCGGCAGGTTGGGGGTATGTCATAATTTGGGGAAGCCCAATATCCTCCCCTTTCATTGAGGTGTTCCTTGGACAACATTCCTGCAGGCTTTCACACTTACTTATATAAGCCTGGTAATTGGAATGGCTTTGGTTTGTGGGGGTGGCCAAGGGATGAGTGAATTCAGTCGCCTGTTAAATGCTTGCTGCAATCTGTGCTGTTGTTTTTCAACCAACAGGCTAAGAACAACAACCACGAAATAACTCAGCAAGGATTTGCAGGGCTTGGCATCACTGGGGAGGACAGTGGCATGCTTCCTACTGGCCTTTTTTGATCCTGCTCTGGCTGACTTCTTGGCTGAGGGAGTTGCCTAAATTGGCAAGATGAGTAAGGCAGGCAACGCCCCATGGCAATGGAAGAAAACAACCATCCAGCTGAACAACATGGAAACTTGGGAAGCAGCCATATTCCGAGTTAGACCATGGGTCCATCTAGCTCAGTATTGTGTACACTGACTGGCAGAATCTCTGCAGTGTTTCAGACAGGCTTCTGAAGATGCTGAGGGTTAAATTTAGGACCTTCCCCATGAATGGAGAACTTCAGACCTCCAGATGTTGTTGAGCTACAACTCTTCTTACCCATGACCATGCTTCTTGGGGCTGATGGGAATGAGGAACATCTGGAGGGCCAAGGGTACCCCATGCCTAACCATCTTTGGACCACAATTCCCATAATCTCTGACCATGGGCTAAGCTGTCTGAGGATAAAAGGAATTGTAGTTCAACTACAGCCTACGGTTGAAGAACACTGGTCTACACTGACTGTGGGTCTCCGGGATTTCAGAGCGGTCCTGCTAGCTTTTTTACTGGGAATTTTAGAGATCCAATCTGAGATTTTAAGCAGGCCAATCATGTGATTTCCAAGGCTTGGAATGAAGTTCCCTGAACTAGTTACTGTATAAAACAAACACACCTTAAATTAGACCCCAAAGTGGTTTTCATGTGAATTAAATGTGAATTAAGTTTATTTTGGGGTAGAACTTAAAACAATTTCTAGTTCATATTCAGCTCTCCTCACTCCCACCTGCAATGCAGGAGGCCCAGAATATTTGCTTGCTTGCTTTTTTTAAAGGAAAAACTTGGTATTTATAAAGAAAGTAAGAAAGCAAACAAACAAACAAACAAACAAACAAACAAACAAACAAACAAACAGTGAAGGCAATGTTCTACGGCTTCTTAGGCAGATACAATGGCATTGCTGCTGCTAAGGATACTTAGTCACTTAACCGCTTTTGCCAAGTAACTAAAAGGAAGGAATGTGAGGCATTTCCTGTGTTTTCTTTCTCCTTTCCAACAGGAGCATCTTGCATGCAGCGAGAAGCACAAAAACAAAGTGACAGATGCCTTGGATGGGTAAGGCTTTTCTTGTATGGAAATACAATTATGGGGGAAATATCAGTGGATGACTTTCTGTCAGCCATCTTATTACTTATATGTGGGTCCAATTTTGGACCGTCTACTGAAGTGCAGCAGGTCATAATATTCTGAATTATCTTCTTCTTCTTCTTCTTCCTCTTTCATTTGGATGAGTTTGGATGGAACCCGTTTGTTTTGTGAAAGAATGAAGGTGAACTGGAGCCAGTGGCTTTTCGGAAAGGGGGAAGTTGAACTAGTTGCTTTTAAATCTGAATGACCCAAGCTCTGGTGATTTCCATTTGAGCGATAATTAGATATCCAAGCCCATCATGGCTCTTCCAGGCTGTAGGGGCAGGTCCATTAAGGCAAATGGGCCACTGCCCCATCAAACTCAACTGGATTCCTCCAACTCCACCTGACTTATTTACATCCAGTCCACAGTGAGGCCCTGACTGTCACCTTCCTCCACCCGAGTCTCAGGTGTTGTCCCTTGTAGAACTCGGCAGGAAGGAGGATGGGGACAAAAGTATGACGACTTGGTCTGCCTGCTATTGGCTCTTACTCAGCCAATCGTTGGCTCCGGCTCCACCTACTTTTTGGGCTCCCGCCCCACTAGGGAATAATCAGCAGTGGGGGCAAACTGCGCCGTGCTCCCCTTAGCACGATGAGCTTCATCTCAGTTTACCCCAAGAAATTTCAAACCCCAAATAAAAGATGCTAGTCAGTATGAAAAGACACCTGCAGCATTTTATTACAGAAAGATTACAAAACAACCAGTGCAGATTGCATAGTTTTGCTCTTTTTAACCTTCAAGAAGGCAAAGGGGTAGGGGGTGAGGACAAAAAGGAGCACAATAAATTATTAAGTTACAGCCACAAAAAGAGGTCACTTTCCATAATTCTGCCCCCTCTCCCTCTCATACATGCACACACTCGAAATAAATTACAGTCAAATATTCTCCTTCAAAATGCATCTGCATCCAACCATCATAGAATTCAACAGCAAGGCAGATGGATATACAGTACATATTTCATTCATAGAAAATAATAGATATATAGATATTTACAGGATTATATCCAACACTAGCCATGCTACTGAGGTTAATGGACACGACTAATTTAGATTCATTAAATTCAATGGGTCTTCTCTGCATGGGGCTTAGTCGGACCCACGGTGATCCCAACAGTGTGGGGATAGATTCCAACTCCCCCTTGCTGAAACAATGCTACTTGGACTTATTCAGAGAGACATGTTTATCATTTGAGGACTAACACAGGCATAGCGGTGACCCCTAGCTTAGATTGCTCTGTGGGCGTGCAGTCAAGTTTCTCCCTAAGAAAGTCTCAGGCAGGTAAATTGCCACTTGGCATGGGAAACTTCAAGTGATGAACAGGGATGACTAAATGACCCCTGGATACATAAAGTGTGGTACAGCCCTGAGCTCTGGTGATCATCAATAAAGCTTTCTGGTACACCCAGACATCTATTTGCTGTATAAAACTAAATATTTTATAGTTCAGTATTTCTGGATGTCCATTATGACAAAGCAATCTTCTGAATACAGTTGGAACATTTCTCTTTTTTTAAATCAAGAAACCATTATGCAAAGGAGAAATCTGGCACATTTTGTGTAAAGCAAAAGTTCAATGTGCTTGCAAGTATATATCCGTTTACTTTAAAAAGAACAGCAGCCATTATGGACATGGTTGGATTTTGAGGTCTGAAGAGGGGAAACAGGTAAAGAAATCCATTTGAAAAGTTGATATTGGCTTCCAAATTCACCAATAAAATGTAATATTTAAAAGTGCCCTGTAACTAATTTCCTGAGTGAAGAACAGCCAATCGGAAGCTGTCGCACTGCCAGCCACTCAAAAGAGCTGACTTTGCATAGTGTTGTTCCTTTGCCACCTGAAGGGGGCGCTGTAACCTGAGTACAGGCAGTTGCTAGGCTAGACACTGGGGGTTCTTGGGCACCTATCCCACTCCATGCAAGCTACTGTTTTTCTTCTTCTCGTTCGAGAACTCAGCTTATAAACCCTGAACTTCACATTTTAACAGAGGCAGCACGCAATCATAATTAAAAACACGTTCCTTGCCACGGATTTCAGAGCTCAAACAGGAAAGAACTACCTGTCAAACAGAAGAGGTACCGTGGGCATTACAATCGGCACGGTCAAGTATTCATTGCATCCCTCTGGGATCCCAGAGTCACTGTTAACACAGACAGAAAAGTACATAGCCTCATAAATGTTCGCTAGACACATTTTTTAATGTGTGGGCTGTTTAACATTTAACTCGGAGACACCTGTGAAATGTTGACGGTCCAGCCTCTTTGCCCAGGGATGCCCAGTTGAATCTGGTTCCCTCAGGAGAGCTTCAGCGGGAAGCTACGGTTGTGGCTTTTTATAGGGAACTGGATAACCGCCAGTCACTCTCTGGCTTTCCTCTTCCCTCAGATGAAAAAACGAAAATAAAAAAAATAGACCTCTCATAAGGAGGCCACAGGTCAGTCATCTCTGAAAAGAATACCGTGGAACAAATAACATGAGGGGGGGAAAGGGGTCTTCAAGTCAATCAAGGAACCAGTCAGAAAGTAATCGTCAGTGTTTGCCTGGGCGAGGCTTCGTTCAGACACCTCCCTCATTAACGGAACGCGTTGCAAATCTGATCCCAAGTCGCGGGGTGGAAAACCTTGCTTCCCCGGGCTCCATCTTGTTTGCCACAGAACTGTCCGAGGAGGTTCAGAAGAGAAAAGTCACAGACTCAGTCTCCTGTTGGAGGCTGAGCCCCATCAGTCCAGCACTTCTGAGCCAGCATTTCTGGGTCAGCAGTCACAACTGTACTGGCCACAATTCCCCACAAAAGCAGCTCTTCTTCAAAGGTATGAAGGTAGGTTTATAGTTCTCCAAGATCCATTCTCTTTGGACGCCATTAGCTGTTGAGGCGCATATCTATGCTATGCTCTTTCCGGCGCTTGAATCCATTCAGCACCACACTTGGGTAGAGCTCAGGCATCTGGTATGTGCTATATTTTGTGTCTTGGCATGGGGTGCCAGTGCCATCGCTGGCGTAAGGTTTTGTCACATCCTGGGTGCTGGCCAGGCCTTCCTCCACATAGCGGTACTTCTCCAAAGTCAAGCTTATGCTTGGGATGTTTGGGGGTCGAGACACCTTATGCGTCCTCTTGGCCGTGAACTGACGGTAGAGGAAGATGAGAGACAAGATGGCGGCATCCACGAGGAACTCCAGCAGCTCCACCACTGACAGCACCGATGACCCAAACCAGAGACTCCAGTTGCTTCCCATGTTGGACATCATCTGGGATTCCTAGGGAAAACATAGACCATCTGATTAGACCAGAGGCGGGGAGTCCTTTGCAGAGTAAGAGGCCACATAGCCTTCTGGGGAGCCGCATGCCAGTGGTGGGAGGACCAGAGGCATAAATGGATGTAGCAACAAACGTCAATTTTACCCTTTGTACAAGTAGACTAGTTTCTACACACACACACACACACACACACACACCGGAACCTCTCTCAATCCTCTATCCAGGAAAGCAAGAGACGTGATCAGAGTTCAAGGACACATTCCAGCCAGGTCAAAGCACTCAGGAAGGGTGTGAAGTAGGGCTGGGGAAGGGAGTGGCCTGGGAAGGGTTCCTAGGGCCAGATGGAGAGGCCTGGGGGGCCACACTTGGCCCCTGGACTTTAGCTGCCCCAGCCCCATGTTAGACACTGCTGTGACCCTATATGTTGCAGCCAACATTAATATCCCACATGGAGTCAACCCATCAACGTTTATGGATCTAACTTAGTCATGGCCATTAATTTTTGTGCATCTACTCTGAGTATGACTTAGTTGGATAGAATGTGTTTCTCTTCCGCAAATATCTTCATTTACCTGCCGAGTTGTCCTTCCTTTCTGTTCCTAGTTTTATTTCATTTGTAATTGCTGCTTGTCTTCCTGACGGATTTGTTTGTGGAAGGGCAACTTTATGTGGCCTCTGCTATCAATTTCAAAGAACTTATAAAGGCTAAGAACATTATGTATGTTTTTTCTCTCCTCCCTCCTAATCTCATTTCCCCTTTTGTTGTAATTTTTAGATTCTAAGACAAGGGAGTGGCGTCTGATTCCTGATCATTCTAAGCTGCTCCGGGAGAATTTGTTTAGCCGAAGAACAAGATGCAAATAAAAATGAATTCCTTTCTTTGGTAATAGTTGTTTCTAACTGCTGTTTAAGTTGGGTTGGATCCAAGTTGACAGCATAATTCTCTGCATGCTTGCTCACTAGCACAGTAATTGGGTTCAATGGGACTTACTTCCAGGTAAGCATGAATATTATGGCTGCCTATTGTTAGCTGCAGCTGGTTGCCATGGAAACCAGTGGTCATTAACTCATGATAAAGGTGGTGATCCGAACCCCACTTACCTGGGAGTATGCCCCAATGAATTTAAGTGGACTTACTTCTGAGTAGATACTTGGTAGCAGTCACTTAGCTATACTCAGAGTAAACCCATTTCAAGTGAATGAACGTGACTAGCTAAAGTTAATGTAGGCCGAATAAGCACACAACTTCAACTTACTGTATATTCAGGAGATTCATCCCAAGAATTGTAGTTTAGTCGCTCGTAGTAAATGTTCACCTTGGCAATATCTTTTCTGAAACTGAGGAAAGAGAGCGTCGAGATCGAGTTAGTCCAGTGTAAATTTGTCCATCCCCCCCCAATACATTTTATTACAGTTTGAAAGAAAATACATGAAGGTTAATATCAAATATACACTATCGTTTTATCAAAGTTTTTTTTTAAAAAAAACCTAATCTAAATAAAAACAAACCAAAATGAAGAAAAGAAATAAGAAAAGGGGGAATAAAAAAGCAAGAGGAGGAAAAAAGAGAACTTCAAATTCTCCATCTGTCAGCTATGTATAAAAACTATCCAAAACATCCACTCCAAGATAACTGTCCAGTGTAAATTTGATTGCGGGAACTTTTGAGAAAATTGTGGAGAGACACTGCCAGTCAGTGTAGGCAACACTGAGTTAGGTGGACCAAACAACCTCACTCTGTGTGCTCCTTTGCTCCAGATGGTTGAGGACCTTTAGTTAAAATGCAAACTGAACTGGTACAGTCAGAAGCAAGGACCAGTGAATGCCACGGTGCACCCTCCCCAGCTAACTACGGACAGGAGTGATCAAAATAAATTTGGTATAGTGCCATGTAAGTGGGCTACAGCTCCTACGCTTCAAAATTTAGCACTTCACCATAGATGCCAGTTCTGAAGACTGTTGCCGAATAATCTTGCATTTATGGTGAAAGACAAGGATTTGACAGCAGCAGCAGCACATATACCCCGGTAGAAAAAACAACTTATGACTAACCTGTCGCCGGTGACATTGTATCTGTTCTGGGCTTCCAAAGCTTTGTGAATCCATTTCTAAAAAGAAAGACACAGGAACAGGGTTCAAAATATGGAAGCAGATGCAGCAGATGGTTCAAGTGGCATTGTGCCAGGGATGGCATAGGGGAGCTGCCAGCTGTCCAAAATATCAGCTGGGCTTGCTCTTGGGCTCTTAACGGAAGCTTGGTTTGCAGTGAAGCTTAACATGCCATTGGGATAAAAATGACCACCTATGAAGGCCTTTGGGTCAAGCTGCTGTTAAAGGCAGAGAAGCACTGTGCAGCAGAGTAGTTGGCAAATTGTAATAATAAAAACGGATACATACAAGCGAGGCAGAAGTAATGTGACTATCAGGTTTTTAAAAACATATTGAACATTCAAAACTTTTTGTTTGCGCTTAGAAGTTTCATCAATATGCTTAATATATTTTCTTTGCTCTCATTTTTTTAGAAAAGGGAATTTGACATCACTATGGAGGACCTGTTGCACCCTATCAGATGTATAAGGAGGCAGAAGAAACAGTTAAATTCTCCTCCTAATAGGAGCACATACCATAGGTGACTGGCTTCCTGATTGGTTGTATGTTCACTGCAGCAGGCTCCCTGATTGGTAAGTGACTATCATTAGCCAGCTTGGGAGAACATTGAAAATTTAGCATCCTCCCCCACTCTGAACTCCACATAGGTTATACTTTACCTCAGATTTGGTTGAGGGCCACTTTGCATATCCTGCTGCAAGTTTGTACCAAGTCTCTCTGCCAAGAAGACAAGAATGTAAAAAGGTTACGAGGAACCCTGCTGCATCAGAACAAAAGCTACAGTGAACATTTTATGGTCCCGTCTCCTTTTCTATACTTTGAGATGTGGCGGCCATTTTATGTCATGTCACACCCCCATGGCAGCCAGTTGGTGACTGGAACCCACAGTACATTCTTAACATTCCCAAAGTGTCCACTAGCCTGAAAAGGCTGTAATGCCTGGATGCCCGTATGCACCCTTGGGTGATCTACATGCAGGTCGCACTTACTGAACACAGCGTGTTCCCTGGAAATTGTTCGTTAGGCGACCATTCAGCTAACAAGATGACAGTTTCCATTATTTCCTATGCGAACATTTCTGATCCATGCTTTTCCTCCACCCTCCCATCATGGTTTCTTCCTTAAATGGCTGCAGCCAACCAGCAAGAGAGAGACAAAGGAAAAACTGGTTTGTTGAACTCTCCTGCTCCCTGATTTATCCGATCTCTCTCCCCATTCCTTTTCTCCATGGTTTCTGCCTGAAAATGGTTGCCGCTGACCAGCAAAGCATAAACAAGTATGGAAGTGGGCAGACTCTGGCTGTTTGGATATCTGAATCAGCTGAGCATGTAGCAAGGTTTGGGCAATTTTTTTTGCGTTTGGATAAGTGAATCTTCGCATAACAAGCAGACCAATAGTGGGGCCTGCATGTATGACTCAAAAGAGAATGAGGAGAGGAGGTAGATATCTAGTGGGCCAGTCAATGAAAAGGCACATATCTGGTCCATGCTAAGCTTGACCCTGCTACCATTCGAATGCGTCAAATGCCTTTGCTACTCACTTGCATGGTCTGTGGCATTTGTCAAAACAGGATTCGGTATGAGTGGCATCCTGATTGTACATGCGATTGTACAGGAGATAGAAGCAATGACCTACAGGAGGGGAAAAATAAGAGGAACAAGGTCAATAGGATGCAGCTGCCAATGGCAAATAATTGAAGACAGCCCTTTTATGCCATCATGAAGGGTCCTTGTCTAAACCAACCCCCAACATGGTCTGATCAACATTTCCTGTTTCCAGCTGAACTTAGTTTGAGTGGTACTTCCTGCTTCAAATTGAACCCACTTTGATTAGCACTTCCTGTTTCCAATTTAGCGGTTTGGCTGTCACTTCCTGTTTTCACCTGAATACAGTTTGATCAGCACTTCCTTCTTCTAACTGAACATGCTTTGCTTGAACGATGTAGGGAGAATCCCAAGGACCAGACTGTGAAAGGCCACATCTAGACCCTGGGCCTGAGATTCCCTACCCCCGAGTCAGCTCATACAGAGTATTCACATTATGTGTCCTCTTTGGTGTGTTCTCTCTCTCTCTCTCTCTCTCTCTCTCTTGTTGTATAAGCATCCACCCTAGTTTAGGTATGCCAGGAGGTAGCCAACATAGTGCCCTCCCAATTTTGTTGGAACTCCCATCAGCCCCAGCCAATGTGGCCAATGGACAAGAATGATGGGCGCTGGAGTCTAGCAACGTTTGCAGGCACCACATTGGCTGTCATGGGGCAACAGCTGGCCAGGCTACATATAGACACTGTGCCATTGGCCAAATCAAGTCATTCTGAACACATTTAAACACGTGTGTGTGTGGCTTCTTCTTACCCCAATTAGGATGCTTGTTATAGTTGCAGTACTCCGTTCCTGGAGGCAGTGGGTAGTAATAGTACCCACAACCACAGTCTTCAATCATTTTCCTCTGGAAACATGAATGCAAGCAAGCCTGTGGGGCAGTGAAATGGGGTGGGGAGACAGAACAAAATAGAAAGTGTTGTAAGTCAAATTTTTCTGGTGCCTCAAGCCTTTCGCTTCAGATGGGGTAGATAGGTGTTAATTTAATGGGAAGGGCTATCCCAATTCATTTTGCCACTCACGGTGAAGGAGAAGAGCCAAACCCACCACTGCAAAGCAATTTCCCCAATAGAATGCATGCTTGCTTGGTATTTGCAATAACACATGCGTTTTTATGGAAACTTTGCCTCTGTAAATCTTTGCACACATTACATGGCTGCAGAATTGCACTGCACAATTTGGAATGGGGCAAATTCTGAAGGATGCCTGCCTTTTTAGCTTACCTCATCAGTTTGAAAACTGCAAAAAATTAGGTAGGTTTGCCTTAAGATTGAAACCAGATCAAATTTATCCCCTCTTTTCCTTAGCCTGAATTTCACACCCTGATTTGAATTAACTGGGCAGATCTTTGACAGTGAGCCGGTTGCTCTAATTATTTGAGCGATCCAACACATGGGAAGGGGCAGGATCTTAAAAAGGCAGAAATGAATAAAGTGGGAAAACAAAGCCTCTGTTTTAGCTATACCTGCTGCGTGTATGTGCTGTTGTATATGAGCTTGACAGCCACATCATCACCGTCCTTTGTACATGTGCCATAATTTCCGCCTAAGCGAGTCACCTCGTCCTGCGTAGTTGGAGGGAGGAAAGAGCATATCACTTGGAGTTTAGCATACAGGCCAGAATCAATTCAAAATAAAGAAGCTAAACCTGGAAGAATCTCTCCCCTCTCCACCACTAAAGCAACATCAGCCCCACAGGAGGCCCTTGCAATTGCCTGTCGCCAGTTATTGAAAGTCAACTGTCTAGTGGCGGCTGGTGTCCAGCAGGTTTGGTGGGGTGGAACTCTGAGAGCCCAAACATTTCGACATTCCCCCAAATTGGGATTGCAACAAAAACCCCATTTGGAATGCCAGTTCAAAACATCAGGGATGGGGAGGGGAGGACCTTTTTTCAGAGCGACGGCTGCATTCATTCTGGGCAAACTTCTGGGGGGCGGGGACAAAGCCAAAAGGGGGCGTGGCATTGGATGTAAGGTTTACTTTCGCTAGTTTATATACACTTTTACACAAACCCCACTCTATGTGCCATCCAGGCAAGTAAGAGACACTACCAGAGTTCAAGGGTGCATTTAGCCAGGTAAAAGCAGGGATGTGAATCAGGGCGAGGGGTGTGTGGCCTGGGAAGAGAGTGCCAAGGGCCAGATCGGAAGGAATTTGGCTCCCGGGCCTGAGGTTCCCAACCACTGATTAAAACACTTTACCCTGTTCTGCCTTCATCCAGAAAGCCTCCCAGACACCCCACCACCCCACATTTCTTAGTACAAAAGTATTGATCTGATGTGTAGAGATCTTTCCTGTTCTGCTTAGTTCAAGAATGTTCTGGAAGGTTTCTTTCTATGTGAAAGAAACAGGCAGAAGGTTCTTGTTTGGGTTATTCCTTCTGAGAAGCTGAGTACAGCTGGTTTAAACTGGTTCTGTTATCCTTTCTGTCAAGGTCATGCTGACTCTATCTCTTTGTTCTGGTGTGGCGTTCTGTACGCTTAGTGTTAAGGTTCAGTCTTATTATAAGTTCTTGTTAAGTTTAAGTGAAGTCTGCTGCAACTGGATTTCTTATGGACAGTGCCAATTCTGAATGTATTGGATTTGTGACCATTATGCTCATTTGCCTTCCGGAGCAGTAAAGCTCTGTTGGATGAAGTACAATTGCCTCTGGTCTATTTTTGGGGAACTCTGCAACGTGTTTAGGTTTTTTCCTCCTCCACACACGACACATGCCAAGGTTTTTCCTGTTGCCCATTCAGACCCTCACCTGTGTGATCCCGATGGTGGTTTGAATCCCTGGCCGAATATCAAACCCCTCGTGCTCTAAGAACGCGGTCTGGTTGTGGCTGTGGATCATCACCCTCACGCCCGCCTTGGTGGACAGCAGTGGGATGTGGTCCTTTTGCTCCACTTTGAGGATAAGGGAGAGACCTGGCACCAAACAAACACAAGAAGGTAAGAAGGACCTACTGGATGGGGCCAATGGCCTTCCGAGGAAAAAGCAAAGGGATTCGTCGTCAAAGCACAGCTCCGTCCAAGCAGGAAGTGACATCAGTCAGTTGCTAAACAGGAAATGGCATCAGCGTGTGGCCAAAGCTCTTTTTATTGCACATGCCCCTCAAGGATTGCTCTGGTGGAAGGGGGCCGAACCCTGCTCAAAATTTCCACCTACATAGTTGGCCTCTGAGGTAACAATGAGCAGCTGTGGAAGGAGCGGCTGCCCACACGAGAGAGGAATCGCTTCTGTGTTGCTCACTATGATGTCAGAGACACCCTCATGGGCACAAGATCTCACATATATCATCATCGCTAGTGTGTAGGAATGACTCAGGGCCAGCCCAAGACATTTTGCCGTCTGAGGCAAAGGAGAAGATGATGCACTCCATATGCAGAAGACCGCTGGGATAGCAGTTGATGTTTACATTGGTGATGACAGGGAAGCTTTCCCCAACACACCTGAAGGCAGTTACATAAGAAGCTGCCTTATACTGCATCAGACCTTTGGTCTATCTAGCTAGCTCAATATTGTCTACTAGCTTAAGAGCTCCAGAAACCATTTGTTTCAGTGTGCTTTTAAATTGCTGGTGTTTTCTCGCCCTGCCCTTTAGATCATACATTTGAATTGCTTTACAGTTGGTATTGTGTATTGTTTTAAAGTACTAAAATCCTCGATTTATGATAGCTCAGTTGCCTTTGTATATTCAGCTTATCCTACAGGGTGATGCACAGTTAAACTATGGAAATCGTTGAAAGAGTGATAGGCACCAACTTGGATGGTATCGAAAGAGGAATGGAGAGATTCGTGGAGGAAAAGACTATCAAAAGTTATTAGCCACGATGGCTATGCTCTGCCTCCGCAGTTAGATGGGCCACTGGCCTGATCCAGAAGGCTCTTAGTATGTTATAGGGTGACCCCACCTTCTCCTCATTCTGCCCCCCTGAGCTGCCATTCCGGGGCCTAGATTCATTGGGTGTACCTTGCCCTGGCAGCAAAAATCAAACTAGGCCCTGTCAGCTTGAAGTCTGCTTGCCTGCATGTCATCTTAAAATTTGGTATTGCACTTCTGTTGAGAAAGCTATAACAATGAAAACCAGAACACAGTTTTGCTGTTTTACAAATATCTCTTCCTCTAGTTCCCCTAAGGGTCATCTATTGTTTGACCCTGCCCGCATTCCCTCCCTGACCTTTCCCCTTAGGAACAGCACATATGGGAGAGAGGTTAAGCTTTTATACCTGGGTCATTTTTCTTGATAAAAATCACTCCTCAGATCTGCTATTTGCATCAATTTTGCAGGGAGGGGACATAAAGGTGCCCATATGATACCTGTATATTGTCCCTCTGCTGGGCAAATAGCAGCTTCAAAGGTTATTTTAATCAGGCAAATGACCCTACTGGAAAGGGTTAACCCACCCATTTCCCAGTGTAACAGCCCTGATCTGATTTGGGACATAACTGGATCTGTTTTCACTCTAAGGACACACTCTGAAGACAGTAATAAAATGGCAGGTTATGTATGCTGGAAAGCAAATGCACACCCAGCCAAACTGACAGCTACCCCTTCCCTCACAGAAACTGCTGGACTGTGAAAATTCCGTTTCTGATAATTTTGCCCTCTTGGTTCACAGCCTGTACTTTGACTGATACAGCAGCTGAACCAAACTGTGTTTGATCTTCATTGCCTCATGGGGGGACACAACATCTAGAATTATCTCTGTAGTTTAAAGCAACATGTCTGTGGAACATAATGAGCTCTGCACACAGCCTAACCCTTGCAAGCGACCAATAGTCAAACTTATCTGCTTGCACATTCTTTTTCTCCGTTCTTACCGTAAACAATTCCAGGCTTCAAAGCTTTCCAGAACTCATCTGTCCCGCCTTTATTAAAAGTGTAACAGCTTCCATAGACGGGGTGATGAAAGTGCTCAGTTTCACTGTAGTGAAGGAATGAAAAGGGGGAATGGTCAAAATCAAATATGAGCATTTTTTGTTGTTCTCCCCTTTCCAGCGTTTGTTCACTGGGCTTCATTCTCCAGTTCCTCAGCTCTCCAGATGCTTTGGGGCTACAACTCCCATCATCCCTGACCACTGGTCCTGTTAGCTAGGGATGATGGGAGTTGTAGTCCCCAAGGGAGGGCCGAGTTTGCCTATGCCTGTTCTACAGCCTTCACCAACGTCCTCGAAAAGGATATGGGACAGAATGGAGTCTCCTGGAAAGGGCATGGCTGGCTGGATCCCTGAACGGGAGCACGCCACACTGAAATGTTTTGCTGCGGGTGCCCATTAACTATTCACAGCCCTGGGGCTATGGTGAGATGGAGAGATAACCATCTTGTTCCAGGTGACTATGCTGAAACATTTCATCACAAAAGCCATCTCAGAGAAAGGGGGACTTTTATGAATACTATCAGCCTCAGATGATAAGCATCCTCCTTCCCACCTCACCAGCGGTATTTTGGATTTGGCAGTGGGGGCAGCTAGTGCTTAAGAACAGGGATAAAATATAAGGAATATAAGATAAAGGCAATCCAACTGACACCATAAGAACGTAAGAACAGCCTTTTGGATCAGGCCAATGACTCATAGTCCAGAATCCTGTTCTCACAGTGGCCAACCAGATGCCCCAATGGGAAGCTCCAAAGCAGAACAGCTCCTGTGGTTTCCAGTAACTGGCATTTATGGGCCTTATGTTTCCAACCTTGAAGGTGTGGATGTTGAAACATGGCCCTACATTACACCTGCATTCCAAAGCTGACCGTTACTTTTACGAGTGAGGTCATCTTGCCTTGGGACAAGAGCGGATCGTACAGCAGACCGAGAGAGGCTCCGCCCTCTGGAAGTTTGCTTAAAACTTACAGGAGCCTGCCAAATACCCGCAATTTGTCCCAGCCGATAACGCTTAAGCAAATGTTTGCTTGGGTTCATTATCGGCGACGCGTTTTGATGGGCCCTTGTGGTTAGCTCCGCCGGCTTCTTGTTTCAACAACAGACCCGGGGGTGGGGGTGGCAGGGACCAGTTTGGCTCCACCGAGGGAACAACTGGTACAGTCACACCTTGTACTGTACAGAGAAGAGATAAGGCCAGGCAATAGGATAGCCGGCAGCTGCACGACAGCACCATGGTGAAAAGTCATTCATGGCAGCACATCCAAGCCACGTGGGGACTGGCAGGTGGTACAAAGGGAAGGGTGTCTCCAGAAGTGAGACTTCTTACAGGTAAAAGGTCTTGTAAGGCCACCGGCAGCCTTCCTGTCTGATCCACAAAACTGATGCCCTCTTTACATTGCCTGCTCGCGCCTTGAGATCTCTCCCATATTAGCCCCTCTTGGAGGAAACTCATTGAAAGTACAGTAATGGCATGGCTGGCTGAGGTGAATTAATTTCAATGTGTTTGCTCTGAGCGGGACTAAGAGTGGAGACAATCCCTTCCATAGCAGTTCTGCTCCCATAAAGGAGAGGGTCTTTTCTTGCTGGAGTGCCCTGCTTCTGAAGTTGCCTCGCCAAGGAGGGACATCTGGAGCCATGATGAACTTTATGGTGGAAGGAGAAGGTGAAGACCTTCCTACAGCCCAAGGCTTTTTAGGTTCAGCTACTATATTCAGCTGCCACTGAATACCGGTGGCTGGAACTGCAGGAGGGGAGAGTTGCTTTTGTGCTCTGGTCCCGCTTGTGGGCTTTCCAGAGACACCTGGTTGGCCACTTTGAGAAGAGAGGGTTGCTTCCAACTCAATTCAACTCAGAACAGGCCCAATGAAAGGAGCAAACCTAAGTTAGGGCTTATCCATGCTTGCCTTTCATCTGCTTTCTCCAGGCACTGTCCATGATTTGAAGCTCTGGGTCTGAGCGCCCATTTCCTCCCTCGGAGTTTCCCCCATGAAAATCAGCTCTTTAAAGCTCAGCAGGAGCAAACGTCAATCTGTGGGGAAACCCGAATTGATGTTTGCTCCGATTCGACTTTAAAGAATGGGTTTTCGTGGGAAAAGCTTGGAGCAAAATAGCCCCACGGAAACCTCTTGGGCATGGATCGTTATAGCATGGACCTCTGCCTGGAAAGAGCAGGGCAAAAGCTAAGTGTGGATAACACCAGCACAGCCAATAGAATCCAGGATGATGGGAGCTTGCCATCCAAGAGTCTAGGGGTTGGGCTCAACTTCATGGCCAAGTGGGGATGGGAACCCTGCTTTCCCAGGCCCAAATCCGGCACTCTAACCACTGCACCACACTGTCTCTCCCATTTGGCCAAGGCAATAGCAACAGAGTTCACCTCTCTGCCCTCTCCACCCTCCGCCTCTCTCGCACTTCCTGCCTTGCTCCTTTCGCAAAGTACCTGCAATGCCCCTGAGGACAATGCTGCTGCTGCATGTCTCCTGAGACAGGCAGCATTTCACTGGGTGTGGGCAGGTTTGCTCTGGCTTTATCAGATTGTTCTCCTTGCTGCGCCGTATGCAAACAGAAGCCGGGGAGGACCCAGTGCCAACCTGCCCTTCACCTCGAGAGAGACAGGGAGAGTCTGTGGCAATTCTAGGGAACTTCCCCATCTGCAGCCTGAAATTATCCCGAAAGGAGAAGAGCCGCCAACGCCCTCTTGTGCGCCTGAACGAACCAGCTCCTCTCTGTGAGGGATATGGGAATAGAAATAGGCAGGGTGGCTCAGGAGGTCAGGGCGGGACTGCCCTTGGAATACTGTAGGGCGGTTCCGCAGAAAGGAACTGGGGAAAAAGGTCTGCAGAAAGGGTAATCGATGGGATAGAGGGGAAGGGAGCAACTCCTCTATCTGTGAAGAAGAAGAAGAGTTTGGATTTGATATCCCGCTTTATCACTACCCGAAGGAGTCTCAAAGTGGCTAACATTCTCCTTTCCCTTCCTCCTCCACAACAAACACTCTGTGAGGTGAGTGGGGCTGAGAGACTTCAGAGAAGTGTGACTAGCCCAAGGTCACCCAGCAGCTGCATGTGGAGGAGCGGGAAAGCGAACCCGGTTCACCAGATTACAAGTCCACTGCTCTTAACCACTACACCACACTGGAGGGTGCATGTGCTTTGCAGTGGTTGGACCTTCGGAGAGTAGAGCTCAAAACCTGGCCTGGAAGCTGCCTTGCAGGGTTGTTGTGAGGATAATGTGGAGAGGGGCACCTGCACTGCCTCGAGCTCCTCAGAGGAAAAATAAGTACTAGTGTGGTCTAGTGGTTAAGAGTGTTGGACAAGGACTTGGGGGACCAGGAGACAAATTCCTAGCAACTGCCCTAGGCGTGACTGAATTTCAGTCATTTCAATGGGTCTAAGTCTGAGCATTGGATGCAAGTCTACATTCTTCTTTTGCAGGAACAATGCTTCCATTGATGACCACCAGCGGCTGCCTGTGAGCTCCCTCTCTGGAATGATTCTCGGATGGTATGGTTCTACAACTGAGCAGGCCAGCAGGCCGGGTGGCTGTGTGAGTTACCTAGCTTTGCAAGGCAATCCGTCGTACTGGCAAGCGTAGACCAGGTTGTTGATGTGGTCGTCGTCCTTGGAGATGTCAATGATGGGTGGGATCTGGGACATGATGTTCATGTAGTGGAAACTGTACCATTCCTGGAAAGCGTCAACCCCGGAGGAGTAAATCTTGGTGTAGCAGTCTCCACCCGTTTGGTTACACTGAGGAAAGAAGAGAATTAGGGGAGTGAGAGGTTCAGCACCAAAGAAACAATTGTGCAGTGATCAAGAAACTGGAGAGAGAGAGAGCGCAGAAGAGGGAGCTCTGCGGAGCAAAGCCAAAGTTCCGTCTTCTCCTGGTGGCCAACCAGATGCCTCTAGGTAGCCTGAAAGCAGAACAGGAAGCCAAGTGTCCTCTCCAGCTGCTCCTCCCCAGCATGCTGCCTCTGACCACACAGCCACCATGACCTCAGAGGTTCAGTGTGTATGTGCTGGCCTGAGAGAGGGCCTTCCCTGTGGCAGCCCCTGAGCTGTGGAACAGAGGTACATCTGGTATCTTCATTATACAGCTTTTGGTGAATGCTGAACATGCACCTCTTAACCATGATTTGGACTCTGAAGGCATATATTTTAGGACCTGACTTGTTTCTGTAATTCTAAGTTGTTTTCAACTGTTTTTCAATATTGTACAGTGGTACCTCGGGTTACATACGCTTCAGGTTGCAGACTCCACTAACCCAGAAATAGTACCTCAGGTTAAGAACTTTGCTTCAGGATGAGAACAGAAATCACGCAGCGGCAGCAGTGGGAGGCCCCATTAGCTTAAGTGGTGCTTCAGGTTAAGAACAGTTTCAGGTTAAGAACGGACCTCCGGAACGAATTAAGTACTTAACCCGAGGTACCACTGTATATCAATGTAAAGTGGTACCTTGGTTCTCGAACAGCTTGGCTCCCAAACAAATCAGCTCCTGAACACCACAAACCTGGAAGTGAGTGTTCCGGTTTGCGAAGGCTTTTCGGAAGCCAAATGTCTGACGCTGCTTCCGCAGCTTCTGATTGAGTGCAGGGAGCTGCACTTTGGTTTTCAATGGTTCCAGGAGTCAAATGGACTCCCAGAACAGATTAAGTTTGACAACCAAGGTACCACTGTATCTTAATAATGATAATGTTGATGATAATGTTAATAATTTATTTCTTACCCACCCTTCCCTCTAAGGTCTGAGGGCGGGTTACAGAATTAAAAGCAATCAAAAACAACTTGCAACCATTGAAATAAGGTGGGTCCTAAAACATACACCCCAAATGTTATTATTCATGTTGTGTTTTAATTGTTGCCCTGGGACCTTGGGGTGAAGGGCATTTGAGAAATTGTAACAACAATAACAATGGGGCCATGATAGCCTCCCTGTCATTCTGTGATCCCTGAGTGGCTGGGCTCAGCCTGCAACCAATTCAGGAAGACCAATTGTCAATGGGAGGTGGCCACTGAAAATGGCCACTGAAATCCCCATTCAACTTACCAGCCGGAAGCCCACTTTGCCGCCGCCCATTCTCACTAGAGCAATGCTGTCATCTAGCTTGAAGCTGGAGCTGTTGACCTCACTGTTTGTCCAGTTCTCCAGACTGACGCTGGAGTTGTCTTCCAGAGTGCTCGCCGGAATGCTGAAGGGGTATAGGTTGTGTAGGGTTTCCCTGGCCAGATTATCCAGCTCGGCCATGTTTTTGCTGACTAGATTGACCCTGGGGAAATGAGAGAAACGACAAAGGGCTCTGAATATCAGCGTGAACCAAGCCATGCAAAGGAATCAGCAGGGACAGCCTGATCAAAGAGGCCACTCCGGGAAACCCTGAAGGCGAAACACAGAACCTTAAGAAAACTTGAAGTGTGTCTCCCCTGTGTATTGCTCCATTTACTTTTACAACAGGAGAAAGACATGCCTGTCAATGGAGGCATGGTAGGCTCAGGTGTGGTCCGTAGCTCTGGCCAAGAATAGACTTGCCAGATCAGGGTGGTCAGAGGCAATATGAGTCCTTTATCCTTTGACAACACCAAGCATCCATCATCTCCCATATGAGATGCAGCAGTTAGCTTCCCAACGACTGGAGAGACTTTTTTGGACTTTAATATGCTTCATATTTATGCTTCATAAATTTTTTCTAAGTAGCAGCTCTAACATTAAGCTGCTGTTACGATTTTTTCCAAGAAAGGAGAGACTGGCTGTTATTGTTGTCGTTTACTGTATTTTAGATTTTGCTTGTCCCAGGTGACAAAGCAATACTATCTATCTATGTTTCGAAAGACTGAAAACAGGGAGCCCAAGAAAAGGGGAGGAACTGAATTTGACAAATTCGCCCCTCCCTACAAATAAGTGATCCCCTAAACTCCAGCCCCTCTCAACCTGCAAGTGAAGTTTTTCAATGATTCGAAAGGAAGCCCCTTGAAAATACAAAAAAACCCACAACCCACTCGTACCTGTATGGATTCAGATTGCAGAGGGTGATGGCAGGAAACATCGTTTGTTGAGATTTGACAGAAATTGACAAGACCACTGGGTATTGCCAGTATTGGTTGAAGAGGAGCCCAAATTGCCAATACAGCATGGCAAAGCTGGCGAGGAATAGAAGGGTCCAGAAGGCTGTCTTCATCTTGTTCCGACTCGAGCACACCAGCCGGATGGTGCCATGGATGGTGGTGTTCAAGCAAAAGAACTCAAAGAGGTCCTTGAAGGAGCTGTAGAAAGCAATGAGGGCAGCATCCTCTTCCCTTTTCATTTCTACCTCTTTCTCTTTCCGTGTTTCTTCTTCCATTCTCTAAACAGATAGAAAGTTTTGAAATTAGGAGTTAGGATGGGCAAGGGAGACCCAGGCTCCCCTTAAGCAATTAGTTGATTCCCCCAACTCCAAGGCAATTTATTTTAGCCAAAAAGGTGCTCCACATTCTGCCATTTTCAAATAGGGTGGCTAAATGTGGGTGATGGGGAGGGCATTTCAGCCCAGGCTGAATGCAGATAGGAGTTTGGTAATCATCATCATCATCATCATCATCATCTTATTTAAGTATAAGATATATCAAAAGTTGATAGTGCCTCAAAGCAAGTTCAACTCGATTGAACCAAAACAGTATGGAACTAAAGTTCCAAGGCAGCTCTGAGGATGACAGGAGGATCTGACATTCAGAGTCAAAATACAATGTAAGAAACTGAGGAGGACCCAATAGGCTCATCTAGTCCAGCATCCACTTCTCACAGTGACCAACCAGTTGTCTGTTGTGAACCTGAATGTCACAGAACACTCCTCACTTGTAATTCTTAACGACAGCTGCTATCCAGAGACACACTTGGTTATAGCCAATGTTAGTCCTTTACTGGTGTAAATTAACTGATTTGACTAACTGGCACCCATTTATTTCAATGTGTCTACTCTGAGTAGGACTTCTCTGCTGACAACTTAGTGCCTCCGACAACAGGGGCAGAACATACCACTCTCTGCGACCAAGATTTGGAGATGTTCCATCAGGACTGTGGCAGAGTCTCCCCTTTCCTTCTTATGCCTTCCTGGAAACAGCATCTCTTATAGCCCTGAGCTCCAAATGGGGATGCTGACCCAACATCTCCAAAAGGGATGAGTAGCAGGCAGCATCTGATTCACAAGGGATCACTTCCTGGAGCACCTCCTATGCCATGTGCCAGGTTTCAACAACAGGCCTGAATCACAACCCGATTCAACAGGGACATTCATCCATTGCAAGACCCAATACCAGATTTGGATTTCAGCCCTGAGCTGGTCGATGGATATGGTATCTCTGGCGTGTCTCAGATCTACAAAACCTAGAGGGTGAGTAGCAGGAACCTTAAGCAAGGATCTTTCCGAGAGCTGGCGGAAGGGCGGCGGGGTCATCATGCAGCAATAGCGGTTTGTGGAAATGTATAGGGATGTATGTTAGGCGCCAAGTGCTATCGGCATTGCAGGCTGGTCCTTTCAGGTACTGCCCCACAAACCGCAGTCTGTCTTACAGGACCACTGCTACAATACAGTGGTGCCTCGCAAGACGAAAATAATCCGTTCTGCGAGTCTCTTCGTCTAGCGGTTTTTTCGTCTTGCGAAGCAACCCTATTAGCGGCTTAGCGGATTAGCACTATTAGCGGTTTAGCGGCTTAGTGGCTATTAAAGGCTTAGCGGCTTAGCGGCTAAAAGGCTATTAGCGGCTTAGCGGCTTAGAAAAAGGGGGGGAAGCAAAAAAAAATCGCAAGACTCGCAAGACGTTTCCGTCTTGCGAAGCAAGCCCATAGGGAAATTCGTTTTGCGAAGCAACTCAAAAACGGAAAACCCTTTCGTCTAGCGGGTTTTTCGTCTTGCGAGGCATTCGTCTTGCGGGGCACCACTGTATTGTGGCTGGCAAACCAGGGTTGTTATCTGTGGGAATTAAACTCCAGATTTGTGGGTTGTTTGACCCTTTTCTTAGTTCCCTTCCCCTTCCTATAAAAGTTACACTCTCTTTTAAATTTTAAAATGACAAGATAACTTTTATTTTGTGCGCCTGCAGTTGCAAATTGAACGTATAGTGCAGGTAGATAGATGATAGCTTAAGCGGCTAAAACATCTCAGATAGATTCAACTGTTACAGACGATCTCTGACTCTGAAGCAGACGGCAGTCTCCGTTTGGACGGTTCATAACTGCCACAACTGCCATAACTGCTACAAAGTGTGTGGCTGTTCCACAGCTCTTGAAATTAACCCTTTATATATGCATTTTGCATTCTGACATCCCTCAGGATCCAACTAAGTTCTAGTTGGAAATGAATGGAGCCACACTTACCTAGTACCTCCGCTGCTTCCAGGAGCAACCTGTGCTTTTAACTCTGAGCACCTTTCTCATTTGCTCTGGAGCTTTTCTTGTGAAAACCCAAATCAACATTTGCCCTGACCAAGTGGGTTTTCGCAGGGAAAGCTCCAGGTCTGGGTGGGTGGGGGAAACCCAACAAGGCACCAAGCTTGAAAGCTCAGGCCTGTGCCTGGAAAGAGTGAGGGAAAAGCTAAGTATGGATAAACCCTTAGTCACGTCCCTCAACTCCAATGAGCCTACTCTGAGTAGTACTGGCATGAATTCAACCCTGACCTTTTTTTCAGCAGCCAGGAATGCGCTGTTTTGTTTTAAATAATGGAAGATTTGTTTTAATATGCCTTTTCTTTAGTACTGTGTACATCAATTAAAGAACTTAATAATATGTACTCAAGATACACCCATTGCAGAAGTGTTGGCTCTGGAGAGGAATCAGGGCCTTGCAAGATGGTGCCCTCTGCTGGTTGTGTCTGAATGGTGTTGAACAACAGTTTCCTACTCTGCACAGAGAAATGCGGGAAGGTGCCTTTTGCTCAGTCAGATCCCTGCTGCATCGAGCTCAGTATTGCCTACACTGGCTGGCAGCAGCTCCCCAAGGGTTCAGATGGGCCTTCTTTCCCAATGCTACTTAGAAATGCTGAGGACCAAACCTGGGACTTTCTGCTTGCAGGGAGGAAGCTAAACCCCTGAGCTGTGACTAAGGGAGAAGGGGGGTAGGAAATTATACCGAGTCAGACCATTGGTCCCTCTAGCTCAGTACTGTCTGCACAGACTGGCAGTGGCTCTCTAAGGTTTCAGAGTGAGAAACTTTTGCAGCCTCTACCAGAGATTGAATCTGGGACCTTCTGCATTCAAGACAGATGTTCTGCGGCTAAGCTACACAAGCCACATCCATGGACTCTGGTCTAAATGTGGGCTTGGAAGAGATGATCCTCGTAGTCCCTTCCAACTCTAAAATTCTACTTCTTTCTTAAAATGCTCTTTCTAGAGTCTGGAGAAGAAGACTAGCTTTCCTTTAGGCAGGAAAGGGTTCTAGTCCCTATGGTTGCAGAGATAACTTTGAGAGAAGCTCAGCTTCTTTCAAAGCTTGCCTGAGTTACCGTATTTTGCTCTCAGAACAATTAAAGCTTTTCCTACTTCACTCATAGCACTAGTACATTAAATGCTCCAGAGTTGAGCACGGCACTCTTTTCTCATTTTCATTTTTAAAACATCACTAATATTAATTGCCGTGCTCTTGGGCTTTGCAAGACTTAATCGAGGTGCAGATGGACCTACAGGATTCCTGAGTCCCATTACTAAGGAGTCAGCTATACCAAGTTGCTTCCATGCAATTAGCAACTGAGAAACAAACTTATTGCTTAATCAAGGGACATTGATTAAGTATAACAAGTGTCACGCCACTCAAAATATGACTGGAAAGCAAATTTACAGCCTGATCCTTTGCAATCTCCGCTATATCACGCAGCAACAATAACAACCAGTAATAATAACAAAGGGTCCTATTCATTTGCTATTTAATGCAACACTTTAACAACAGTGTAGACATGAGAGATGGGGGATATAAGAATGGTGCAGTTAGTATTTTAATCCAAACCTAACACATTCACACTTGAACAATACTTTAAAATGTGCGCCTCTGACTTTGCAATGAGGTTCTCCAACTAAATAAAGCATCTATTATATCTATCTATGTATTTATTTCAGGGGGATTTGGTGCATAAAAATGCATATAGTGATTAAGATGATGTACATAAATGCTTTATCTTATGGGACATGGCTTGTAGTAATGTGTATGGGAAGCAGAAAAGGCTAGAAGAGCAGCTACAGTGTAAGAATTTTGCACAGAAAGGCCAACTTTAAAGATAAATAAATAAATAATCACTGCAGAGCTTTGGAGATTTGAACACAAGACTCAGAGAATGAGAAACTGAAAGAGGGGCTGGCATGGATGAAGGGTAGAAAGGAGAGTGGTGGGGGAAACCACCCTGCTGTAGCAAAGCCAATTCACACAATGTCATAAAGTACATTTTAAACTCTCAAAAAATTCACAGTGTTTCAAAACCATACAGCATTTAATGTATAACTTTCCTAGTACACCAGTGATGATCTCTTGGATTCCTCCCTCCATCCTATTAACCATCCATTTCCTGCCTGTTTTATTTCCCATGAATTCAAGAGTTTTGCTGCCAAAGGCATTTCCATTTCTTAGATCATGCTTCTCTCCATTTGGCACTTGCTTAGACTCCCAGTTGAGCCTGAATTCAAAGGAACAAAGAAATTACTATAAGGCTGTGTGCACAACATACCGTAGATTTAAATCACCTGCCAAAAGAAAATCCTGGGATCTGTAGTTCATTAAGGGTGCTGGAAATCATAACCCCATGTGGGGAAACTACAGTCCTCATGATTCTTTATGGGGGTGTTGAATGTGTTTTACATGTATAATGTGTACACAGCCTAAGTGATGCAAGCTTCCAAGTCACACAGATGTCTACGTCAGGGAAAACCCCAATGCTTCACTCTTCTCTGTGGCAATAACATGCAAAGTTCACCGGTCATGCTAGCATGTTTAGTTGTGGCAGGATAGGCCGTTGCTCAATCGGCGTAGCATCCCATATGCCGCATCGCCAAAATCACTGTGAATCAAGCCTGGAATCTCCTTTCCATATCCAGTCATCGCAGGTTATGATGAAATCAGCAAAAAGTGCTTCGGCAAATAGGTGTGTGCTCTCCAGATACAACACACGCCCTGCGGCTGTCCTTATCTACCAGGGATGGTTCCAATTTTCTGGAAATGTAAAGTTGGAAAGGGGTGTTAATGCCTCGGATCTAGCCCAGTGCAAGGAATCTAGAGCTGGAATATTCCCAACAGGAAGCAGACCAGCCTCAGAGAAGGCAGTGGCACAGCCAGGGACAGACTTTGGGCCATATGTCGGGGTCCTCACATGAGTAGGAAGTTCCCCTGGACACAGCAAGGCTGGATGATCACATTTTGCAGTGAAATAATGCACACGGCTATCTAAAGAGGACTCCTTTGTGCAGGTAACAGAATTCCTCTGACTGCAGTCCCCACTTCCAAGATTTAAAGCCCTGAGTTGATTCACCTTGAAACCAGCACACATGGATCTCAATGTGTGTGCATGGGTTTCAGTCAGGACTGGATTTAGGTTTAATGAGGCCCTAAGCCATGCCTAGGCAAACTCAGGCCCCCAGATGTTTGGGACTACAATTCCCATCATCCCTGGCCACTGGTCCTGTTAGCTAGGGATGATGGGAATTGTAGTCCCAAACATCTGGCGGGCCGGAATTTGCCTATGCCTGCCCTAAACTATTGAAGGTAATGGGGCCCTTTATATGTTCAGCTGTCATTTGTCAACAACGAATTGTCGCTGTTTTTTTGTGTTGAATATACACTATATGGTAATTTATGGACCTAGTAGGTATCTAAAGCCATTTGCACATAACAAAATATGTATTTTATCAAAGTAATTGTTGAACTGAAATACAGTTAAGAAGCATATTAATAGTGAAATACAATTAAGAAGAAGTATATTAATAGTGAAATAATTATTAAGCTCTAAATTATATTTTGGAAATGTACATCCAGGGTTTTTTCCCCCTTTAGATTTTTTGGGGGGGCAGGCCCAAGAGAGTGGGGCCCTAAAAGCTATAGCTTGTTTAGCTTATACGTAAATCCAGCACTGGTCTCCGTGCATGCGCATGGATCTCAACCCAGTCCTAAA